AAAATAATAACAATAAAATAACACAACAAAACAAAAACCACAGAAAAATAAAAGCATAAACCAAAGCAAAAAATGATAAAACACACACACACACACACACACACACACACACAAATCAAAACTAACAGGAAAACAAACAACAAAATTCCCCCATGAAACAAAAAACAAGAAAACCTAACACACACACATACACCCAACACAAAACAAAAGGAGAAGAAAAAAAGAGAAAAAAGGGGGGAATGCAAGTCAAACACTCACACTTATATTCACACACATTAAATTAAAAAAAGAGAAGAACAAAAAAAAAACCTGAAAGATGAATTCTTTTCATACACACATAATAATTTACCTACTCACATAAAAAGAAAAGAAAAATGAAAGAAGAAAAAAGAAAAAAGGGGGTAATGCCAATCGAATCCTCACATACACATTCACACACACAAAAAAAGGAAAAAAAATATTTAAAAGCCTGGACACTAAGCACCCTCTTGCGGTAGTTCTCAGTTGCTCACTTGTTCCTCTCAGCTGCTCACAAGTAAGGCCCTCTACTGTCTCCTGTGGAACTGCAGCCTCATTCACAATTTCCCCAGTGCCCAGCCCAGGGAAGGAGGAGAGGGTGGTGGGGGTGGGTGGGGCTTCGGTCTTGCCCTCCTGTATGGTCAGGGGGATTCCCTCGAGTGGGGAGGTGCAGAATTGTCTTATCTCCTAGTACTGGTGGGGGGTGCCCCACCTAGGCTTATCCTAGAGTAGAGTCTTATTGTGGCTGACATTCGTCTCTCAGTCGTGTCCCAGTTGTGTGGGTCTGATGTTCAGAGGATGGGGGAGGAGGGGGTTGGGTCAGCTCCAGACTCATTGCTGAACTCTTCAGGGCTCTTCCTCATCCTTTTCTAAGATCACACCCTTTGTCCCACAGCTGAATCAGGGTAGGGGGTTGGTTGCCTAAGACTCAGCACTTGTCTTGTCCCTCCAAAGTTTGTGTTTGCTGGATATTCTCTCTGAGTCACAATCAACCCCTGAGTAGTTAACTCACTTGAGGTCACAGAGATCAGGTCTGTCACTCCATGGTGAGCAGACCAGAACACTTTCCTGCCCAGTTTTCAAGATGGTGTCAGGGTGCCTGTTTCATCTTCTCCAGTGGGGCTTTGCTTCTGGCTCCCTTGTTGTGCTCCCTCTGTAGCCCTTGCTGCTAATGTCCAGCCAGGTGCTGCGGTGGTGAGGCAGAGCCTGGAGCAGGCAGTCACTCCCAGCAGCTTTACTGATTATAAAATACCAGGAAGGGCTTTACTGATTATAAAAAATGGCACTGGGCTTCTGTGCCCCAGGAATGGTCAGGTCCAAGCACAGCAGCTGCAGCACCAGCTGCTTCACCAGGAGAGCCCTAGCCACTTGCTCTTCAATCCCTACTCAGTCAGCCACTCACACGCCCACTTACTCACAGACAGGTATGCAAAATTGTCCAAATATTCATTCACACAGGGACTCACATAGTCCAACTGGCTCTGCCACCATCTTCCCAAAATCTCAATAAAATGGTTTCTTGGAATTTGGTGAAATTTCATTAGGTCATGAGGTTTTTTTTGGTTTTTTTTTTTTTTTTTTTTTTTTTTTTTTTGAGTTGGAGTCTCACTCTGTCACCCAGACTGGAGTACAGTGGCTGCTTCCGGCCACTGCAGCCTCAACCTGCTGGGCTCCGGCGATCCTTCCGCCTCAGCCTTCCAAGTAGCCGGAATTACAGGCATGCGCTACCACACCCGGCTGCTTTTTGATTTATTGTAGAGATGAGGTCTCGCTGCCCAGGTGGGTCTCGAACCTGCGGGCTCAGGCAATCCACTCACCTCAGCCTCCCAAAGGCGTAGAATTATAGGCTGAGCCACCGAGCCTGGCAGGTCATGAGTTTACATTCACTTTGAAAGTATTTAATCACCCCTCCTGTTCAACATAGTATTGGAAGTCCTGGCTCGAGCAATCAGAGAAGAGAAGGCAATCAGGGGTATCCAAATAGGAAAAGAGAAAGTCAAGTTATCTCTCTTTGCAGATGATATGATTGTGTACATTGAAAACCCAAGAGAATCTGTCAAAAACCTCCTTACACTGATAAAGGCCTTTGGCAAAGTCTCAGGATACAAAATAAATGTGCAAAAGACAATCACATTTCTTTACAACAATAATAAACAAACAGAAACCCAAATAAAAAACACAATTCCATTCACAATAGCCACAAAAAAAATGAAATACCTTGGCATCTTCCTAACCAGCGACGTGAAAGACCTTTACAATGAAAACTACAAAACACTGCTCAAAAAAATCAAAGATGACACAAACAAGTGGAAAAATATCCCATGCTCATGGATTGGAAGAATCAACATTGTGAAGATGTCCATCTTACCTAAGGCAATCTACAAATTCAATGCAATACCAAACAAATTACCAGCAACATTCTTCTCAGACCTAGAAAAAACAACACAGGAATTCATATGGAAACACAAACGTCCAAGAATAGTCAGAACAATCCTCAGCCAAAAAAAGCAAAGCAGGTGGTATCACATTACCGGACTTCAAACTTTACTATAAAGCTACAATCATCAAAACAGCTTGGTATTGGTATAGGAAAAGGCATATAGATCAATGGAATAGAATTGAGATTCCAGAAGCAAACCCTCAATTTTCTCAACCAACTCAT